ATAAAGTTACTATATCTGGATTTTCTAGGGAATCTATTACTTAGGAGAAGGTGAGTAGTCATCTCTTTAGCCTAAGAAGGGTAAACGCTAATCCAAATAGTAGAGGTATTGACTAGTAGCTAAGTAGTTGAGACTTAGATAGTATTACTAGAGTTACCCTAATAGGGAATAGGGCTATATTTTTGATAATCTAACAAAATTACGCTTAACGGTCTTAATTATCTAGAAGATAAATACTAACGGGTAAAATATATTCGAATATTTATCGGTTAGGTAAGTGATTCTATTACGTATATAGTGAGGAATTATACTTAGATTTATTTACTATACTAGGTGGCACTATACTCTGTTAGGTTATACTAAAAGATAATAGAGATTCTATAGGAGAGAGTTATAGTACGTTATTCTAGAGAATTATAACTAATATTAGTAGGCTAGAATCGCTTACTATAGGAGAAATAAGGAGAGGTTATTTAGGTTAGAGATAGGAAAGATTTAATATAGTAAAAATATAAGTAAGGTAGGATTATAAAAAATAGAGGGGAGGGGAGGATTTAAGAGAGTAGGGCTAAGCTAAGATAATAGAATAAGATAAGAAAGGGGGAGGGGGAGTATCAATAGAGAGAGGAGGGTAAGTTAAGGATTACTAGGGTTAGATAATAGATATCTAGATGTAAGGTAGGGTTAGGTAGATAATAGAGTTCAGGATTAGGGGAGCTAATAAGGCTAAGGAAGATAGATTAGGAGGAAGAGGGAGAGGTAGTAAAGGTACTATAGTTAATATTATTCTGAGTGGAGTATAGAGAGAAGAGAGGTAGGAGGGAGAGGGTAGAGATAGTCTAGGTAACCTATTAGTTTAGGAAAGGTAGAGTAAGAAAGGGGTATAAGTGACGAAGTCACTATGCCTAGAGTTTCTGGGTAACCTATTACTTAGGAGAAGCTAGAGTTATAGGTAGAGAGTAGGGTTAGAGTTATTGATTAGTGGAGAGAGTGGGGCTAAGGGTGTGGTAGGGGCCTGGAGGGGCTCTCTGGAAACCTAACTGTATTCCGGTCTGGACGGGTGACCCGTCCACATATAAAATGGGTCTTGGCATGAGGGGTCGGGTCATCTATCTATAGGTGATGCGTCCACTAACAAAAATTCTTAGTCATCCCCCATCACTTTCACGTCCGGTTACGAGGGTGAATTTCATCATATCACCCCTATACCGTGAATTTTCTCACGTTTTAAGGGTTACAGCTTATTTAGGATGCCTAAGAGTCCGTCCGAGCTTAATTTCGACTCCCCAGACCTAAGACGCGGGTCGGTGGTAGATGATAATGTGCCAGATACCGGTGAAAGTATATCGCAGCCCGCCTCGACACTGCCAGTTCAATAGCTACGGCCACTCTTAGACTTTAGGGTCATTCTCTACACCGTCTACCAGACATACTACACGCTAGGCCCGAGTCTAAGCGAACATCTCAAGAGGCGGTACGGTGTCAAAGGTGAGCTAGCTAAAAAGATCACCAGCTAGGTGGCGGCATAGAACGTGGCGGCTGAGGTGACGCGCCCATCGGATTATAGCTCATTCATCCCCGGGCTGTAGTTCCGCGAGGGCTTCGCTTGTAGCGCCGCCGAGGCGTGTAGACATCTCCGAGCTAGTAAAGAGAAGCTAGAGCGACACGCTAGTGAAGCGCACGGCGTCGACACACGGCACTAGCAGAGAGAGCAGTGTATGTATCGTAAGGTGACACTATAGTATTTCTTCGCTAAGACCCCCGATTACTGGATCGTATAGTAAGAGATACCTAGGACCCCGGGGCCGCCAGCTCTAGGTGGTCCCGGTGCCAGCTTCGGCAGCGGTTCTAGTGTCGGTAGCGCGCGTTATGGCCGTAGTTAACCCGGTCCCAACGTGGCCTAGACACTTACCGCCGGCTTAGAGAGTGCTATAAAAGAGGACGAGGCCCGCTACCGCTAGCTCAGCGAACCTAACCATGTCTCTGAGATCTCGCCGTGGCTACGGAAGAGCGCGTTCCACCAGCACTTGGCCGGGTTAGAAGCTGAATTAGTTACCACATCGCATACTACGCTCAGGTTGGACGACGACGACCCGCGACTTTATGAGTTAGTCTGGTCTATTGAGCGTATGCTACAAAAGGCGTACGAGTTGGTACCGAACTTATTACATGTCGATACGTGGGTATTGAATACGTTTCAGGCCGGCACCACTAGCTAGGATCCATTCCAGCTCTTATAGAATAAGTTATCGTTCCGGAATTATCTCACCGTACTTTAATCTTTAATAGGTTATTATGTCCGTGTATTTGAAGGTCATTTTGGTCGAGAGATGTTTATAGCTACCGATTCTCAGGTGGAGGTATTGACTGCGGCGTTAGGTATTAGCGCGAAGCTAGTCGAGTTACGTCTACGGGAGGATAGGGAGATTACCAGTGATGCTGAGGAGGAGGAGGAGGAGGAGGAGGATACTTATCCAGTATCCGAACCCTAAGAGCGAATCGACTAGCTCGAACCCAAGCTTGACTACTATATCTTCAATTTCTGCGTAGCACTTATTTAACATAAGCTTACGCGGGTCTACGATAGCGCGATTATGTCATTTTTGGCCGTCCAGTTATCGCTCGTCAGTCTCGAGGACCAGACGATCACATTTCGCCCGGAAGGCTAAGTGGTGGGTATATTGAGCAAGCTCATCTACTACTGTCAGCTGATTCTCCTCCAGGACGCCCACTATATCAAGGAATACTGTAGGCTCGAAGATATCGAGGAGCCATTAAAGTAGCTCTATTAGTAGTGGCTTCTCAACGACACTTACGGTCCGATGAGCGTGATGGGTGACTGGTGTCTCTACACGATGCACGTCGGGGGCGCATCCATTCCCGAAGCGTTAGTGGTCTAGGACGCTGACGGGAAGAATCTGACGTACGGCGACATTCGATACGGCATCGGTGATCTAGTGGACGAAATCTGTATAGCTTTCCGGGAGACAAAGCGAATCTTCTCCGACGAGTTATGTTTCGGCTTACCCAGTATGCTAACATTTCCACTGGTTAAGCTATAGGATAACTGGTCTAATAATCAGCCTAGGTATAGCTTTATGAAAGATCCCCGTAACGCCATCTACTTTGAGGGTTACCAGGACTAACTCATCCGGCACATTAGATAGGACTATAGGTTACTCGACACGGTCTTCCATATGGAGTAGTATGAGTTTGACGATATAGTATCGTGGCCCATCCGATCCGAATTCGCCTAAGAGTACGAGGTCTTCGATAAAGGGTTCAAGGACACGTTGGTGATTCCACTACATAAGGGCTCTAGATAGCCCGCCCGTTGAGTCGAGTTCTTAGGTATTCGCTGGCGTAATTCGGGTCTGGCGATTCGCAATCTTCGTTTACTCTTTGAATTTCTATGTTTCGTTTTAAGTTATCATAAGGTATAAACTCGGACGTACGCATCTCGCTCCCCAGTTCGCTTTATCTTCCCTGAGTTAGCTTAGTTACTGGTTTAGTATCTAGCGTTGGTCATCCTATTTCGCATCTATCTTTCCCGGCAGTGTAACATCCCCGCGGAGGTCGGGGACTATTTCTTTAACCACGGGACCAAGTCATGGCCCGAGAGACGGATGATGACCGCTCTCACCCGCTGGAGCTAGCGTAGTCTGGGGCGGGCGATTTCGACCTAGAAATGGCGGCAAATCGTGGTGGCTATCGCGGTCAAGTACTTTAGCGGTCTCAAATTTAAAGGCGACACCAACATCGCCGGTGACGAGGACGACAACGTCAACGAGACCACGGCGGTCGACGGTATCACGCTTCCCACATCATTCCACGCTCAAACCGCGCACAGTGGGCGGACGGGTAATTAGATCTATAATGGCCGCACTATCAACTTTGTGGGATAGTTGACGGATGCCGGGGTATAGGCATATCTCTAGACTAGTAAGCTCTAATGGACACTCTTCAAGCGCGAGATCCGGGATCTACCGCGGGGGAAACGGATCCGTCCCGCTTCGATCTACGACCCCTGTGGATCGACGTCGTCTCTGATCAAAAAGCTCGCGTATCGAACCTAGGCTCGACCCCGGACCACGTGGGGGTCTGAGGATGTTCTGGTCGCGCTACGGCATCTCTTTTGAGATCCCTAGGCGCGGTTTTAGTCGGCGATTCAGTAGTAGATGGTGGAAGCGGTAGCATCTCAATACCCCGAAGTTATGGTCGTTATCAAAACCGGGGGTGGGAAGAGTCTCGTATATATGGTTCCCCCGTTCTTACCGTAGGCCGCTACGATAGTGGTGGTGATGCCGCTCGTGGTACTGAAACAGGATATGGTCCGGCGATTTCAGGATTCGAACATCTAGTACTCGATTTGGAGTGGGTACGGCAGTAGTGAACGCTTTAACGGAGTGCCCGTCGTCTTCGTCTCGGCCGAGTAAGCGGTGAAATAGCGATTTCGGACATAGATCGGGATACTCGATGCTAATCGATAGCTCGACCGGATCGTATTTGACGAGGCGCATCTTATTCTAACCGCTTTATTATATCGACCTAAGATAGCGATACTCCGGTTTCTCCAGGAACTTCGATGCCCGGTCGTCTTTCTATTGGCTACTCTCCCGCCGGTGATGATAGAGGAGTTCTCAGGGCGGATGTTTCTTGACCAGGCGCGCGTAATTCGCGACACTATATTCCGGGCCGACATTCGGTACGTGATCTAGTAGTAGCCGGGCGCGACGGAGGAGGAGGAGGGCGAGGGCGAGACATTTGATACGTGGGTGGTCTTAATAGTTCGGCGTACTCTCGCATTCTACGAGGCCTATGAAACCTGAGCACGATGTATCGTCTACGTCAAGAACCGCGAGGTGACCCGGACGCTCGCGGAGCTACTTGATTATGAGTTCTACTATTCCCAGTCCGGCACGGTCCAGGAGAAGGACTAAGTGTTATGGCGCTGGCGCCGGGGCGAACATAAGGTGATTATTGCGACTAGTGCATTTGGGATGGGGGTCGACTATGCGTACGTCCGGAACGTGTTTCACTACGGCTTACCGAGTGATACTATCAATTTCTCACAGGAGGTGGGTCACATTGGGCGTGACGGGCGTAGTAGTGTCAGTATGGTCTTATTACCCCGTCACGCCCGGGCTATAGACGACGAGCGCTGGGAGCGGGAGAAGCATATCACTCCGCTATCTACGCGTGTCATGCAACGCTATATGAATACACGGTGTCTCGGAGCGGTACTTAGTCGGTACGTGGATAGCGCCGAGTACATATAGTACTATACTAATGTCCGGCTCCGGTGTAGCTTTTGCCGGATCAATAGTGGAGTGGACGGCTTTGACGGGCTCTTCAATCCCGGGGCGGAATCCGACATAACGCCGTGGTGGGATTCGGAGCCCGTCGAGCCGAGTCAAGGTCGGCAAGAGGAGGGTGTCAAGGGTGAGGAGGGGGATAAGGACGTCGCGGACGTTGACGAGGCTTCCAGTCCATACGAGGGTAGTCGCTAGCGACTCTAGGAGGCCGAACGCAATAGCGCGTACCGGCTTACGCAGTACATCCGGTGGTTACGGTAGTGGAAAGGACGTTGTTTATTATGCCGACTACTATATGACGACGGTCTCCCCCACCACAATCTCAACTAGTGTCAGTAGCAGAGTAAGTTCCGGTTCTTCAACACTAAGCGACCGTTCGCAAAGAAGGAGAAGAGCCGAGAATAGATGACGGAGTGGACGGCGTGCCGGGGGTGTGGTCAACCGCCGATCATCTGTAGTGACTGGGATCCCCAAGTCGGACTAAACGGGTGCGAATTCCGGGATATAGTACTACCGGCGGCTTAGGTAGTTTACTACATACGTAACCACTAGGGTGAGACGTTAGAAGAGTTTAGTGGGTAGTTCGGTGGGTTTAAGAAAGAGGAGGACTGGGTAAAGTGGATGGGCGAAGAGGTGGCGTTATTTAGCGACCGTACGATTTAAGTAGTGCGGATACTCAATAAGGTACTCGAGAAGCTTGAACTGGGTGAGGTATAAGTAGATTTCCGTAGCGTCGAGGGGAGTATATATGATGACTTTCTTTATAGGTCCAACATCTAGAGTTTTGATTATATCTAGGCGGTAAGGTTTAGAGTGAGACTAGTTTTAGGGATTAAGTCCAGATCGGATACTTAGATATCGAGAATATATCCGAAGAGGTAGGGGAGAAGGGTTCGGGTTAGTGACATAATAGGAGTAAGGAAGGGGTATCAAGGTTAGGGGGTTAACCAGTAGATATTTTTCGTTATCGGTATTGAGAGTAGGACAATCTCGGAGGGTGATTAAATTAGAGGAAGAAAAGTAGGATAGTAGGATATTAATTAGTTTATGATAGGGTTAGGAGGAAAGGGTGAAAAGGGTTATATTAGTATAGGACTCGAGCAGATAAATAGGATAATTAAGATAGAGGATTTAGAGGAATAAGGTAGTTCGGGTGAGGAAAGGAGGGACGGTAAAGATAAGGGGAGATTTGGGAGATTTCATAGTTTCGGTCCTATAGAGTTATTTTCGACGAAGAGGGGTTTTTCGAGTGTTATCTTAGATGGGGGTAGGATGGATTTGAGGAGAAAGAAGGGTTAGATCAGATATTGGACGATTAAAGAAGTTAGCGACAAAATCAGGGATAATTTATCCGGGTAGGAGGGGGAGAGTTAGGGTGAGAATGGTAGCGGAGTCTATTAACTATAGAAGGGGTAGGGATATAGGAGAGGGAAGCGAATAGAAAATTTCGGACTAAGATTATGACGAGATTAAAGAGGAGAATAATGTTAGATAAAATGATCAACTCTCCAGAAGAGGATTAGGGAAAGGAGGGAGGTTCATATTTGATAGAAGAAGTGAAATCGATAGGGTTAAGGGGTAGAGGATAGTCGAGACCGGTTAGGGATATAGAGAGAGTGAGTCTATCCAAAATGTGGTTCATTAATGTATATAGATTAATGATTACTGCCCATACAAAATGTATAGCGAGGCTAACCCTAGCCTTAGCACGCTAACTTTACATTAATAATTGACTTTACATTACATTAATGATTAGTTCCCGGGCGATTACGGTTTTGCACTTGGAGTATGTTATAGTTAAGGCTAGTAGTTTACAAGTTACGCTATTTTAGCGATGATTGAACTCCGTAGACGGATAGAATCGCAGATTAAAAATCGACCATTTTATATGGGAGGAATATCAAAAAGTTTAGGGGTGAAAGAGGAACTTAAGGTTGAAAATAAGTTAGCCCTAACCCCAGGCCGAGACGAGGGTTCCGAATTAGTATAGTAAGCGAGATTAGTCGATTTAGGAGTCGAGTGCGCATTCAGCACTATAGACGGGCGAGGGCGTCGGAGTAAATGGTATAGGTTCACCACCGAGATCAAGTAGTTTTATAGTATAATAGGGTCATTAATTAAGCATTTATTCGTGGCCCCAAGTTTACCGGAGTTATATCGAATTAATTTAATCGCTACTAAAGCCGTATTAAGGTCGTCCATTAGACGGTTTCCATTCGGAATATAACGGAGTATATCGTTAACAAACCCATTTAGGTGGACGAATTATTTCAATATTCGTCCACTATCTAACTATCTATTTACCGTTTATATCGACATGCCGTATGGCCCGAGAAGGTTACTAGTTATTTACGACGTCGTGAACATCGATTACAGTCCTAAGATGCCTAGTATGTGCAGAATCAAGTTTCAGGATAGCCTAATTTACAGTAGGATCGTGATATTATGTACACGATGCACTAGAGGATTCGCGACCCGATTCCCGAGTTGGACATTTTTAAGGACGGGTAGTTATGTAATAGTCCGACCAGGGGATGTCGGTACGTATATCGCGACGAAGAGAGTATAAAGGTTCATTAGGCTCGAGACTATCCCAGACAGCGAGGTAAGGCCAGTACACCGTATGCTGGTCGACGAGCCTATCCTAATATATAGCCGTAGAAGCCCGTTTGGTACTAGCGAATATTTCCCCGTCGCTAAGGGTCCTAGTATTTTGAGGTTCACGCCCCTAAGCAGCCCGAAGAAGCACCCCCTAAACTATTACCGCTACCCACTAAGATTGAGTAAGCATGATAGATATTGTAGTAACGCATGAAGAAGATTAAGGACCGGGAACGACAGATTATCGAGGAAGGGGCCGCTAATGAGCCCAGCCTATAGTTAGAATAAACTGGGTAGGCCTAGTATTTACGTAAATTAGACCGTAATAAGTTATTATAGAGTATCGCTACGCTAGAGATGGATCCAGAACCCGTCAGTTAAGTGATATAGTAAGCGATAGATAAGATAATGCGATAATATTAAGTCACCGTCAGGGCGTATACCGGAGTATTTATGCGTAAGGAGGTAATGCGGACCGAAGAAGATTAAAGTCGATTCATACCATTAAAAGGATACTAAAATCCGGAAGAGATTTAGGATAAAGGTCGACATTAGTAGCAGATTATTATGTTTTTCGTTCGCACGTAGTAGTCACATTTATAGAAGAGTCCCAAATATACATTAAAGCATCACTAGTAGTAAGCGTTTCAGCAATTGATATAGAAGGCCTAGTAGGATGTCGAGAGGAGTAAGTTATAGTATGAGGAGGGTGAGTATATCGCCGTAGTAGCTAGTGAGCATATAAGTGACGTTAAGGTTAAATCGCCGGATAAGAGGAGTGGTGATAGCGAGGATAATATGGAACTATAGTATCCCTAAGGATTCGTCCCGTTAGAGGGTACCTAGTGAGTATGTTTGGCGTTTTGCATTTCGTTATTATGCTAGAAAGTCTATCAATATGAATACGAATACGCATTAGTATGCGCATTAGCCGTATTAGGTGTCGATGCGTATGGATGGAAAGGATATGACATATATCCGCCTATTTTATCTAGTGTGATTAAAATCGCCCGGTTAATGATAATTCAGTATACATTCTAAGAAACCACCCTAGACCCTAATAGCGCCTATAGCGATAGCGACAGCGACGATTTAACCCTCAGTACGAATGATGGTGAAGACGATAGCTATAGTCACAACGAGCACGACTATCCATTTGGTCCAGAACCTAAGTAAGTGGGATATATCGACGTAGTTCAGTACATAGTAGACTAATTCATATTGCGTACTAGTCACGGTCCTATGGAATAGATGTTGGATTTACGCATATACAGTATGAAGATTCAGTTTAGTAATACGGCACCCGGTTTTATTGATTAGTATAGTAATCAAATCATATACAAAGACATCCAGTTCACCATAAGCTAGTTTCGCGGGATGGTGCACCAAATTATATATGACACCCGTGAGCGGTTATTACGCCGCGTGTTAGATATTAGTCCCCACTAAGAGCATAAATTACCCACTATTCTATGGGATGAATTACGTGACGATCCCGCTAACGCATAACCCGGTTGGAATTTTGTGTAGGATCGTCAGAATCTATGGCCCGTAAATGATGAATAGTGATTATTCGATTGATTAATGAAGAGTGGTTAATATCAATTTTTGTAGGATGGAGACGATGTACGGTAGAATATCGAAGAGGCATAGAGGTAGTTAGGTAAGGAAGATGCCGTCTAAGAAGGGTTATTATTATTAAAGTAGTTCGTCGGAGGAGGACCCCGATAGGCACCCGAGTTGTTGAGCATTTGTCATAGTAACACTAACTACGGTGGATATTATAATATCGGCATTAAGGGTAGATTAGTGTTCACCGCTACCTAGTACTATAAAGGGTATAGTATAAGTAGTGACGTGAAGATCATTCATCAGTATATACTACGCGAGGTAGGGGAACTAGATATATTATGGATATAGTTAGTATTACTATTACGCTAACGTATTAAAGCCGAGATATACTACCGTGAGAGTCGAACGAGTTTCATTTGGCCGCGCTAGAGTCCTAGCGGATACATATTCACCCCCGGTCGATTACGGGAGGGTTTGAAGTAAGTCGGTATAGTTAACTTAGGCTACGCGTTGAACATCTAAATATATCGTCATTTAGGTATTAGCATTAGTTAGCGATATTTATAGACTAAGTCTAGGTTTAAGTATGACCCCGAGGACGAATAGGGCGAGATTAACGAAGATGAAGACGATATCATTGATCAATCTACTAGACACATTAGCTACATCATATGGTCGATTTACGCACGAGGCATTAGTGAGCGGGACGGTGAAGTAGCTAATAAGCGTGAGAAGTTTCGATGAGTTAGTGTATTATAGTATCGATTTTTGGGGTTCGCGTCTAGTTAGGAGGATAGTCAATAATAACGTCGCGGTAGACGTAAACCGTTCGAGAAAGAAGCTGAGGCGGGACGGTTTCGATAATAGTAGCATTTACGGTAAGTCAACATTTAGATAGCGTTAGAGAAGATGATGAGTCGGGGCCGTCAATTTCGTGGCGTATAGCGAGATACTATTCAAGCCGTGATGCGAGGCGATCCGCGCGTGATGGTGTTTATGAGGACCGGTGGTGGTAAAATATT